CTGGCTTCGGCTCATTACCCGGCAAGCCCTGGGGTGCGCACTTGCGCGCCTTCGGAGATTCTTTTTTTTTTTTTTAAGTTTATTTTATGTATTTATCTGGCAGGGGGAGGGGCAGAGAGAGAGAGAGAGAGAGAGAGAGAGAGAGAGAATCCCAAGCAGGCTCTGCACTGTTGGGGTGGAGCCCTATGCGGGGCTCGATCTCACGAACCGTTGGGATCATGACCGGAGCCGATACCGAGAGTCAGATGCTTAACCGGCTGAGCCATCCAAGAGCCCCTTGAACACCTTCTGAGATTCTGAATGACTGGACGACGCTTGAGAAAAAGAGCAGAGCTCTGGGCCACTGCGTCAGTGGGTCGTTAGAAACTCAGGGGGTGGCACGGTGGCATGGCCGACGTTGCCCATGACCCGTTCTGGTTACCTCTAGATGCCCAGGTCTCCACATTCCAATTCTCCTTCTAGCACCCGTCCTCCTGGTGAGGCGGGTCACAGCAACCAAGTAGAGACCGTACACACAGTCGCCGCTCTGTGGGTCCACATGGTTTCCACATGTGGAGAGTGTAACGAGATGACTTTAAAGCCCCGTTAACTTTTTCCATTTTAGCTGATATTTCTGGATGAGGCACCAGCTCTCTGGGGAGGCCAGTTCGAAGGATTCCACGGAGCCCGAAGCCAGCTGTGAAAGGCCAGCCTGGGGCAGAGCCACTGGGGAAAAAGTTGCGCTAGAGTTTCCAGTTATTCCAAGTGTCGATTCCTAAGGCCACGATTAGGGAAGGAGGCTACCTCTTCACTCCCCCGTCCCACACGGAGCACAGAACGGAATGACCTCAGAACACGCTCTACTTCCGAACGGTTCGAGAACCAGAATTTCTTGCTTATGAATAATGGAGGAAGCATCAAACATCCAAACGAGGGCTCAGAGGGGTCGAGTCCACTTACGAGGATCACATGGCGGGGGGCGGGGGGGGAGGCAGCAGAATTGGTAGAGCTCACAGGCGGGTTGGGAGATGTCAAGCCCGTGATTTTCTCCCTCCCACCAGTGTGTGAGCACAGCACAAGTCTCTGGGGCTGCAAAGATGAAGGAGACATAGCCCCTATCCCTCGGAGCTCAGATAGAAACAAAGGTTTAGGCTATCTTAGGGAGTCGGTGCTCTAATTCCGGTGGAGACTCCACTCGATCTGCAGCACGCTCTCTCAGCGAGAGAGCCACTTTACGCCTCAGCGTCTGCGCTTACAAAATGAGGACTTGTGCCTACCATCAACGATCATGTGCCTTTTGATACACTCAGGGGTTTGCGAAATATTCCAGGGTCCTTGGCACTGTGTCAATACAGAGTCTGAGTCCCATCATTAGTGTATAACCCATTACTACTACTACTACTACTACTACACAGAACACGTAAGCCCGATGCTGTATGCATTAGTGAGATGACCCTGTTTGCCAAGCAAGGTGACTTCCTGCCGGCTGCCACAGCACAGGCTGGTGGGGCCCCAGGTGACCGGATGTGAAAAGACTTTGAAGCCCTGATCCCAGCTCGAGCCGTGCTAAGTAAGGAAAAGCCCTAACTGAATCACAAGAGAGAAAAAAAACAGAAGAGCAGCGGAGGGAACCCTCGATACTAAAACACAGGGTTAGGAAAAATACGTGAGGAACAATCACTGGGGTGAGAGACATCAGCCAAGGCGGCAGCCATATTGTTTCCCGCCGCAGGTAAGACCGCCCTTGGGCAGAGTGTGCACTGAACCCAAGCCACAAACCCCAGGCCCGCCTCCCACAGGAGACGGCAGACGTCAGAGGGGCTCTGGCGTAGCATGCCACGGGAGGGCTGTGCAGGAAGAGAGTCTGGTCAAGGCTCTGGAAAGCTCTGTGCAGTCTGTGGGGAACAATAAGAATGCAGAATAGAAATGTAAGCTGCAGGCTGATGGGCCCGTTAGGAATTCGGGCCGTCTTTGAAAGGAATCCGCGGAGATGATGCAAAACACCAAGCATGCGACCCAGATCGTGGCAGGGCATATGGAGGGAGAGGGTACTGGGAATGAGACATTTTCTAATCTGACCGGTCTGAAGTTTCCCCCGAGTGAAGCGAAGGGTCACTGCGCAATTAGAGGCCGAGCTGGGCTGAACACGGCCCGCTGTGCGACTCAGACACATGACCTCCATGAAGCCGAGCTGGGCTCAGAGGCAGATGTGCGCTGAGCTGGGGACATCTTCGAAGGAAGTGGTGGAACAGTCTTTCTTTCTGCCTTTACTGTCAGATCATAAAGGCAGAGACAAAACAGGCTGCTGAGAAAAGGAGAGGATAATGACTCGGTGGCCTTACTGTTAGGGAAGAAACATCTAGGTCCTCCAGAGGCCAGGCTCCCACATCACTGGACTTTCTAGGACAGCTCATCCCCGGGGCCATGAGAGATAATCTAATAAATATCCGCAGCTTCCTGACGGGAAGACAGCTTAATGTGCAAAACGCCTTCAGATCCAAGTGTTTGAAAACAAGGCTTCCTCTGTGTAGAAGGACGCAAGTGTCTTCCAGTTCACTTCTAAGTCAGAGTGTGTGGTCTGTGGTCCCTGACTTCAACTTCCCTTCTAGTCCCCGATCAATACTTAGCACCGGGTGCTGTGCTGGGTACTTTACATATGGTATCTCAAGTCACTCTTGGAACTGCCAGGAAGTAGGTATTATCTCGTCTTATTCTTTTTTGTTTTTATTTTTATTATTTTAGTTTAGAGAGAGCGAGTGAGCACACAAGCAGGGGAGAAGGGCAGAGGGAGAGAGAGAGAATCCCAAGCAGGCTCCACACTCAGTGTGGAGCTAAACGCAGGGCTCGATCCCATGGCCCTGGGATCATGACCTGAGCCCATATCAAGAGTTAGATGCTTGACCAACTGAGCCACCCAGGCACCCCGGTATTGTCTCATTTTAGAGGTCAGGAATCTTGAAGTTCAGGCAGGTCAAAAATCTTGCACCAAATCACACAGCTAGCAAGTAGATCCAAAGACTACAAGACACAGGGCAGGCTGAAACTGTTAAGATCTGACAAACCCACTGTTCATAGGCGGTAAAACCAATAGGCTGAAAGCAGGTTCTCTGTATCTGAATGGATCAAACATCAAGTCACAAATCTTCGTTACAAGGTAAGAGACAAAAAGAGAAACACGGTGTTGTGAGAACCTTCTGGAGGAGAGAATCACGGCCAGCCAGGTGAATCAAAGGTGGCTTCATGGATGGGGTGCTACCTGAAGTGAGTCTTAAGAGGAAGAGTAAGATTTCAGCAGGTCAAGAAAACGGGAGGCTATTTTCTACTGAAGAAATGGCAAGAGAAAAAGGGCAAACAAACAAACTAAATAACAGCGGGAAGCAGGAGGTAGAAATATGAAGTGCTAGCTAGCCCACACGGCTTTGGGGCTGTGATGGCCGAAGAAAGCAGACTCCTGGGTCTATTTCATCTCAGGTCCGTTCCATCAGGATGACCTAGTTCTCCCTCACACTAATGCTAGCACGTTGGGGCTGATATTCCAGAAAATCACCCCAGGTCACTCTCACACACATGTACATCCAAGTGGATTGGCCCTCTTGAGTCCCCTTCTGATGCTTCAGACTCTAGTTCTTCCACACGGGATTTAGTTTTATCCATTCCTTTGGTCTCAGATGAGGACTCCCCACTGCAGCCCCTGCCCGAAAACAATACTTCAACTGACAACCCTAAGCCTCCCAGTGCACAAGGGGGAGGAGGAGCTCGACGCTAGAGATTTTGGTCTTCCCTTAAAGAGGGAAGAGATGTTATGGAGAGTTTGTGAGCAGAAAAGCAGTGCTGTGATGTTTTTGCTCTTAGAAGGTACTAAGCTGCTGTATGTGAAGATGGATTTAAACATTTAGAGGGGCGCCTGGGTGGCTCAGTTGGTTAAGCGTCCGGCTTCAGCTCAGGTCTTGATCTCGCGGTTTGTGGGTTCGAGCCCCGCATCGGGCTCTGTGCTGACTGCCAGCTCAGAGCCTGGAGCCTGTTTCTCCATCTCTCTGTGTCTCCCTCTCTCTCTCTGACCCTCCTCTGCTCATGCTGTCTCTCTCAGAAATAGATAACACATTAAAAATAAATAAATAAATAAACATTTAGAGATTGGTGGAAGACAGACCAACATGGAGGCCCTGAAATAGCCAGGAGGAAATGTGGGTCAGAACAAGAGTGAAGACGGTAAGAATGGAGAGGAAAGAGTGGCTGCCAGGAGTAGGCAGAGGTAGAACTGTCAAGCTCTTCTTCCAGATTATGGGACTTTGGGCCAAACACCTCATCTCCTTAAACCCCAGCAGCTTCACGTAAGGTAGGAGGATAATAGTTCTGACTCATGAAGTGCTTCTCACAAAGCAAATGAAGTAATGCCTTCAGAGCAAGGACAACGATGGCTAGAACACAGTCCAAAATGTCAGGATTACCGAGATGAGCAAGTCTGCGGAGAGGCTGGGATAATGCCGGAGTCTGCATAGCCGGGACGGCGGGTGCCAGGAAGTCGAAAGCAGACGTTCAGCGGGAGAGTGAGGTGTCTCAGAAAGCAGTTCACTGTGCTTTCCTTTTGCATCACCATCATCTCCACACTGTACCTTTGGGGCTCTAGTATGGCAGAGCCCTAGGCTAGTAACATTGGGCCCTCTAACCACAGCTCTTTAGCTGGTAGGAACTCCTGCTTTGAAAAATCTGCCCTGAAATTTTAGATCTAATACCCTCATAGCCAATGAAGCAAGACGTTTTCATTTTGTCTCAGGCATCTGTATGTATGTGTGAGTGTCTTAACGTTAAAAAGACAGAATAGCAATTTGGAACAGGCTAACATTCACAATCATGATCAATTCTTCCTTTTGTAGCACTTAAATGGGAATGTGTCATCAATAACATAATTGGGACAGTCGAGGGGAAATCAGGGATAATGAAAGGTAAATGTACAATCAGGGGTAGTCCCCCAAACAAAAATATGCAGGACAAAGCCCATGGAGGGATGGGCGCTCGCTTACCCGGACAGTATGATTTCCAGGAGATCATCAGTCACAGGTAACCTGGAGGATTTGCACAGCCTTCTGATGTCTGTGGTGGGTAATACTTTTTTTCTGCATTAAAACAGAGGAGACAGGTGTTTACAGATCTTGTGTGTCTTTTAAAAATTTTTTTTTAAATGTTTTATTTATTTCTGAGAGAGAGACAGCATGAGCAGGGGAGTGTCAGATAGAGAGGGAGACACAGAATCCAAAACAGGCTCCAGGCTCTGAGCTGGCTGTCAGCACAGAGCCCGACGTGGGGCTCGAACCCACGAACCATGAGATCATGACCTGAGCCGAAGTCGGACGCTTAACCGACTGAGCCACCCAGGCACCCCGGATCTTGTGTATCTTGAGTAACGATTACATACTATAGGAAGGCAAACACAGACGCCTCCCCAAAGATCTACACGAGGAAAGGAGTATCAACATCGGTAGTGGAATTCGAGTAAGGAAAAACTACTACTGCATTTCACCAACACTTTCCATTGCAGAAGGCACGAGATTCTGTCCTTGCAAAGGTCTTTCCATCACGATGCAGACTCTTGGTTGGTGACAGTACAGCGTACTGGGGCTGTAGCCACAAGTGTTGCTCTAAGTAACTGATCTGCATTCTTGACCCCTGGTCAAAAGTGCTTCTGATATTTGAAAACATCTCTTAATTTGACAGAGATCTAGGACCTCCAACACAAGTATTCAATGACTTGAGGGTGTTTTTCTAGTCTTTTCTTGGACCCGAAGCTTTGCAATCCGGAAGCACCAGCTGGGGCCTTAAGAATTTTGTCAGATGGTTTCTCCAGAGCAGCCCAAGTGTCATTTTCCTCAGCCTGCCGGCGGGGGGGAGGGGAGGGGCACAGAAATGCTTGGCCAATGTTCTCACTCGGCCGATATTCTTCTAGGCACAAAGCAAAATGAGAACCAATAGGAAGGAAAGCGAGCAGCTTTGTTCACGGCGAGGTTATAAAATGAGGAGAGAATGTTTATGTCTGGAATGGAAGCTTGTCGGATCTGGAAGAGCCTCAGAGCTGCCGGATCAAGCAGCCTCATCGGTCCCAGGAGGTATTCCTTTAGTGAAGGAGGGTCACACATCTCACCCCAGGGGAGGGGTACCACAAGGGTGGAAGGCAGGGCCAGGGTCATGGCCCAAGCTCAGGCCACACGTCCTCCAGAAGGCTCAGGAACGTATATCATCTTTACCAAAACTCAACGAGGATGTATTATTATGGATTAGGAAAAAAATAATCATGTTCATCATTAAGATAAACTGTTGGACCTTTAAAGATATTTAGGGTACGTGGCAGGCCACTCGGGTGTAAATTTCAGGTCTGGGGATGATGGAAGGGGTCATGGGGGCAAAGAAACTAACAAATTAGAGGCTAGAGTTCAAACTAAGATTTTCTAACTCCAGGTGAGTATTCCCCGCCCCCCCCCCCCCATATCAGGTCTGTGGGTAAGATGAACACTAGAACATATTACAACGGAACTCCAGTTTATAAAAATGACTCAATAAAGCTCAACATAAACATGGTAAATGTACTAGAAATAGATTATACTGAGCTTCATTATTTTTAAGAAGGAATAATTTCAAAGCAACTCTGTCGAACGTTTAACTTGTAAATTCCCTGTTCTCCATATTGTAAAAGTCAGTTGTAAGTCCTGGTTACCACTAAAATAATGTTAAAAAGCCATCTCCAAATGACACTTTCTAACATCCGGATTTACTACGTTTCGGTTGAAAGCTTCTAGAAACCAATTAAAGGGAAATGCAAAGGGGCCTCCTATGTTTCTGAAGATATACAGGCCTTCCATATTCCATCAACAAACAGCTCACCATCACCATGAAATACGTGTATCATACTCACCAAAACTGATTTGCGGGACCTTTGCTATATAGTGGAGTGTAATGGGACATCTCGAAGTTCTTTTTGCCCGTTGGGGTAAAGTGTAAACCCCTTCATTACCCAGGTCTACAGAAACGTACAAAAATCGATACAGACTTACTTTTCTCGATCTTCGTAAATGCAGGTAGCAATGAGTCTTTCAAAATTCTCAAAAGTATTTTTCCTGAGTTGTTCGTGGGCCTGTGCAATTAGGATGTTCATATCAGGACGGGTGTCCTCGGACACCCCGTAGCGACGTACAAGGGTTATAAATTCATGTTCTGTGAGTTTCCCAACGGTCAGAGACATGATGATGTCTCTGTAAAGAAAACGAGAGAACGCTCATGAAATCATATCTAAGAATACTATTTTGCTTTCTATTAAAAATATCCAAACTCCATTTTATAAAATTTTTGTCAACAGCATAGAGGACAGGTGATTATTTTCCTTTAATTTAATTTCTATCTCACTTCCGAGCAGCAGCAAGGCACCGGTGTGGGATAGGAAGCCATAAGCACTGTGGTCTCTGAATAAAATGGCATTTTGCCCCAAGTCAAACTTCTAAGAGATAATTGACTGCAACCAGAAAGTAAATCTCTCAAGGTCCTTGGTTAAAAACAAAACCAAACCAAACAAACCCACAAAACACCTGTCACTAAATACATGATTTCCTTCCATGCCTATTAATCTTATGTTACATAAAATAGTAACAGACTTGGGGTTCTGGTTTCCCAGGCATCGAATTTATAAATCAGTACGTTAGAAAGGTCTTTTGGAGTTGGAAAAAGCAATTATAAACACCTCTGCAGTAAAATCTCAGACTGGCACACCCTACCGGTGAGAAAAAAGGGAGAGGAAAATATTAAAAAATGAAGCGCGATGTAAAGGTACAGCTGTCTGAGGCTTTTGAAGACAGTGGCGTTAAGATTATGCGGCAGAGCTTAAACAAATAAATAAGTAAATGACAGCAACAACGTATGAACGATGAGGACTCAAAGCCTAACACATTGGCGGGGTTGTCTTCGGTATATTCTCTATCACAGCTATAAACCACGTAGCACGTATAAGAAAGAAGTACATCAACATAGTTAAAACGCCAATGGTTACAGTGGTTATGTGAATAAGCTTCCATTATCTAGAAAATCTACTTACTGAGAGTAGTTCGGTTCCCAAGAATCCCAAATAAGCAAGGGAATACAAGGTTTTATTTGCTCTGCGGTTCACAGACTGGTCTTTCAGAACGACTGCTTTTGGTTCTCTTCCGCATTTCTTGGCATTCTCAAGATCATTGAAGATCTCTGGGCTCTCCTGGTCAAGAATGCCCTTAGACTGCAGGAATGCCCACAGCTCTGATCGTCACCGATCTGAACAAACGGCATTTCACCTACATCTCCTCCTCAGGGTTTTTGGGTTTTGTGTTTGGCTTTTGTTTTGTTGGGTTTTTTTGTTGTTTTGTTTTGTTTTTAGGGGAAATGAAGGCCAAATTCAGCCCAGAGGATCCCACAATTGAAACCAGTCAGTTTGGGTCAGACCATCAAATAGTAATATTAGCCGGGGGCTTACTGTGTGGAAAACACGGTCAAATCACTTTGGCATCTGAGCTTTTCGGAATCTATAACCTACTGGCTCTCAAAGCCACAAACTGGGAGGGCCACTTGAATGCACTGAATAATAATAATAATAACCCTTGCCATCCACTGAGTACCAGCTAGGTGCCAGGTCCTGTGCTGCCAGGGGCTTCGGCATGGCTCATCTCATCTGGTTTAGGAGACAGGGTCTATTATTTTTCCCATTTTACAGATGAGAACACTGAGGCACCAAAAACGTCCAAAGTCACGAAAGCCAGAATGAGCAGGCCTGCAGTCAGGCTCCAAAGCCCATGCCCTGGCGTGCTGTTCAGTCCCTCGTCTGTTGGGACACAGATGACGGAATGACACGATGGAGTTGGGGCTCATTCAGGGAAAGTCTCCTAAAGACTGCGGGTGTTAGGCTGATTATCTGTTTATAGACCCCTACTCCCTTTACCGTCCATGACCTCTGCTTTGAGGGCTATCATTGATTGACATCAATAAGTCCGAGAAAATACCATGGAGGAATTGCACCGAGGAAAGCCCACAGCTCGTTTAGAACGCTGGTTATGGAATATTCAGTCATGATACGGGCATAAAAAGGAATGCTACATGGGGCGCCTGGGTGGCTTAGTCGGTTAAGCGGCCGACTTTCGCTTAGGTCATGATCTCGCGGTTCGTGGGTTTGAGCCCCGCGTCGGGCTCTGTGCTGACTGCCAGCTCAGAGCCTGGAGCCTGTTTCAGAGTCTGTGTCTCCCTCTCTCTCTGACCCTCCCCTGCTCATGCTGTCTCTCTCTCTCCTAGAAATAAATAAAACATTAAAAAAAAAAAAAAAAAGGAATGCTACACAACCATAAAAGGCAGGTTATTGGGGCGCCTGGGTGGCTCCGTCAGTTAAGCGTCCAACTCTTGATTTCGCTCAGGTCATCATCTCACGGTTCAGGAGTTTGAGCCCTGCACTGGGCTCCGTGCTGACAGCGCATGGAGCCTGCTTAGGATCCTCTCTCCCTCTCTGTCTGTCCTTCCCCCACTTGCTCTGTCTCTCTTTCCAAAACAAATTTTTAAAAAATTTTAAAAAGTAGGTTGTCGATTGGCATTTACTTGAATGAAACATGCCCATGCTATATTGATAAATGCATGATCGCAGTGCAAGTGAAGATTCCAGCACCTAGAGATTCACAGGTGAAACGGGTGATGGGGAAGGAGTGTACTTGTCCTGATGAACACCGGGAGTTGTGTGGAGGTGCCGAATCGCTATAGGGTACATCTGAGTCTAACATGACACCGTATGTTAACCAGAATTTAAATAAAGACTTTAAAAAAATGAAGGGTTCAGACCAAAACACCTATAACATTATCCCTGATCACTGAGATTTCTTTATATATATATTATATATATGTACTTATGTACTATATATTTATATATGTTACATATATTATATATATCAATATACATCTTTATATATAATATATATAAATATATAATTTAAGTTTTTTCTGAACTTTTATAATAATCAAATATTACTTTCATCATCATAAAAAACCCACTTGGAAGTTTTTTTCCTTTTGGGGGCAGAAACGGCGTGAAGGACAAGTGGCGCGCTCCCAAGGACGAGGGAGAAGAACGCGTGCCGCGGTAACCAGAAACTTTCTGCGCACCTTTAACTAAACTTGTTCTAGGACCACTGGGTCATAACAGTTTATTTTCCCTTACAGTGGATAAACTGCAATTGCCCTGGCCTCGCTGCAGTTAAAATTTATATCTGCCGCATTTCTGCGGGCTTGGCTTTTAAACGGCTCAGTATCCCACCACTTCCCGTGCCTTTATGCAAGGGTTTCAAACAAACCGCCCCAGATTTGACACTGCCCACCGTCATGCGGGACACAGTGGGGCCCCCCTCCCCCCGGAGCGGAGGCCGGCGTGGCTGGTGTGGCCGCTGCATGCACGTGGGGCAGGTCCCAGGACTGGGGATTCAAAACCAGGAAGTGTAATAAAACAAAAAAAAAAAAAAAAAAAAAAGCAACAGGGGCGCCCCTGGGTGGCTTAGTCGGTTAAGCGTCCGACTTTCGCTTGGGTCACGATCTCGCGGTTCTTGTCAAGTTGGCTTCCACATAACACCCAGTGCTCATACTTGTTGGGATGAAGGATCTTTCCAAAAGTAGCACCCTCCAGGGGCACCTGGGTGGCTCAGTCGGAGGAGGATCGGACTTTGGCTCAAGGTCATGATCTCACGGTTTGTGAGTTCGAGCCCCACATTGGGCTCTCAGGCTCGGTGGTGGCAGCTTGGAGCCTGGAGCCTGCTTCCAATTCTGTGTCTCATTCTCTCTCTCTCTGCCCCTCCCCAACTGGTGTTGTCTCTCAAAAGTAAATAAATGTAAAAAAAAAAAAAGCAGCAGCAGCAGCAGCACCCTCCATTTTTGTATCGCGGTAAAGCACACGGAACAGAAAATGCACCAGCAGTGGCACTTGTTAGCACGTTCACAACGTCGGGCAACCACCATTTGGTCTGTTCCAAACCCTTTACATCACCTTGAAGAAGCGGTCGCTCTGCTTCCCTCCTTCCTCCCCGCCCTCTCCACACCAGGTAACCACTAATCTGTTTTCCATCTCTGTAGATTTGCCAATTCTGGATATTTCATATAAGTAGAATCATAGAGTATTGTCCTTTGTGTCTGGCTTTTCCTGCTTAGCATAATGTTTCCGTGTTCACACCCATGTTGCAGCATGTATCAGTACTTCCTGTTCCTTTTTAGGACTGAGTAACACTCCATCGTGGGAATGTACCACGTTTTGTTTATCCGTTCACACATCGATGGAGACCTGGGTTGTTTCCACCTTTGCCTTACTGTGAACAGCACTGCTGTGAACATTCAGGTTAAAGTTTTTGTTTAAATACCTGATTTCAATATATAAACCCAGGAGTAAAAGTGCTGGGTCACTTAGGAATTCTATATTTAACCTACCGAGGACATACCAAACTGTTTTCTGCATCTGCTGTCTGTTTTTGCTGGCAGTAGCCATGAAAACAGAGGTCCAACTTCCATGAAACCTAGCCCTTCCTCACTTAAACCTTCAGAGTGAACCTGAACTATGATGTGAGAGCAAAGTCTCAACTTGGTACTTCCTGCCCCTTCATTTAAGAGAAATAGAAATGCATTTTAAAAAGAAGCTTTCATTGTATTCATCTGGTGTTCTGTGATTACGACTGCTAATCTTAAATACTCAAAATGGCGGGGCACCTGGGTGGCTCAATTGGTTAAGCGTCCAACTTTGGCTCAGGTCATGATCTCATGGTTCATGAGTTCGAGCCCTGGGTCTGGCTGGCTGCTGTCAGCTCTGAGCCTGGAGCCTGCTTCAGATACCGTGTCTCCATCTTTCTGCCCATCCCCTGCTCCGTTCCTGTTCTCTCTCTCTCTCAAAAACAAGTACTAAAAAATAAAAACTCAGAATGGCAATTACCTTTGGCCTTACTCAACATTTTACTATGTTCCTGGCACTAATATTTTATGCAGATCATCACAGTATTATTTAATTAATCTTATAAGGGACGCTGCCATGATTCTCTCTGTTTTTGTAATTAAAGTCATAAGAGTCAAGAAAATGAAGCCAAACTGCTCTAGGGTATTGAAGTAACTATGTGCCATTCCGAAACATGAAATGCTAAGCAGTTTTACACAACATAATTCCATTAAAGTCACCCACTGAAGCAACAGTGAATCAAAAGTCCATTTGAAAGCTCTGAGTCTCAGG